TTAACCGAGTGTCTATGGCTGAGTGGCCTGTGCCTCAGCCCCCAGAGGCGAAGCAGTGCTCTGGGCAGAGCACAGCACATTCCAGCCCCTGGGCTCCAGGCTGTTGTACAAATAAGGAAGCAAACAGTCCAAGTCGGATTGACTTTCAGTGCAGCAGGAATAAGAGGTGGGTGGATGCAGGAAAAGGAGAGATTAACAGGAAAAGAAGTCTTATCTTTAAAACTTCAAAGAGAAAACTTAGAGCAGGAGTAGTGTATCGGCGAGAACAGCACTTCAGCTATGAAACAGCTATGTCATAGCGGGAAATACGGTGGCATCCTTCGTTGTACATAATGCTTATAGAAGAGGCTCTACCTCTTGCACACTATGTCTCCATTTTTCTTCACAGAAGAAAGCTGTGAAGTCGAGCGGGTCACTCATGTGTTGGCAGAGGCCTTGCCAAGGCCAGCACCCACGGAAGATGTGCTTGCTCAGCCCCGGGGGAGAGCATCCCTGCAGCAGGCAGGCGAGCTTGGTGGCAGCACTGTGCGGCAGAAGTGCCTGCAGACAAAGTGCTGCCCAGCCCAGGCTGATAGGAAAGTTCTTCTTGGAAAAAGGTGGTTTTCAGTTCTGTTTCTAGGTTAAATACCTCCTTTTACTGGAACAAGTAGCTAGGCAGGACACTCACATACAGAAAGCCAAGAAGCCACGACGAGCTCAGCATCACCCTCTTGGTAAAGAAAAGGCAGAGAGCACTGGGACATCGGTAGCCAGGTAACACACTGCCAGCGGTTTGATCCCAGCCATTTGGCTGCAGCACATGATGAACTAGACAAGCTGACCGATGTTTAACATTCATCTTCTAATGCCTGATGTAAAAAATGACAGCTTTAATTACGGTATTTATTTTTTTAGAGGACAGCTGTTTCTTTCACACTATGAATTAACGAACTATTCTGAGCAGATTTGTACCATACCTGCAAATCTAAACCGGTTGTGAAGATAGTTTAGCTTGGAGTTTTATTTTTTTCTGTATACTCCCACTTTTCAGCTTCATACACTTCTTTTTTCTGGTGTGCTGAGATTGTGACAGACAGGGCTACCCACGTTCTTCTGGATCTGGTGCCACAAGGTTCAGATCTCGGATGGGGCACTCGGTGCCACCAGAATAACGATGCCAAACTGAGAACAAGTTTATTTTTGTATCGCACAGATGCTGGTTGTGCATTCACAATTATGTTGAAGGAACATAGTTCTTGACTCCCATTAGCACTCAGGTGTTTGTGTCAAGTGAACCTGGACACAAGCTCATTGCTGAGGAGCTGACACACAGAAGCCGCTCTGGAAAAGTCCAGAGAAAGGTGGGCACTGGCATTTTGCAATGTCACTTGAACTCCACCTATTTACAGAGCAACTTACCCTTACAAAACATAGCCAGGCCTTCATCTGCATTGTACGAAGTAGAAAAAGAAGAGAAAACAAAAAACAAAAACAAAAAGGCCTTCATCTGCATTGTACGAAGTAGAAAGAGAAAACAAAAAACAAAAACAAAACCAACCAACCAAAACAAAACAAAACCAAAAACCACACTCTTGGCAGCCTGGCTTTCTCCCAGGTCTCTGGCCTGGATTCCTGCAGATTTTCTAAGTGTTTCTTAGTGTTGCTTGTCCATCACACCTGCTTCGTCTGGTTGCCTTCAGTGTTTCGCACTTACTTATTCCCACACTAAGGATCTGCTCTCCTCTTCCCTAGCCAACTACGTTTTAGTGCAAGAAGCTGCAAGATGAGGTTCTATGAGAAATAAACCCGATGCTATCCCTGCTTGTTCCACTTTGCAGTTCCGAGTTTGCTGAACGCAACACAGATTTCTTCTTTTGAAAGAAAGTAGTAGCTAAGTACCTTAACAAACTTGAATCCATTTGGGGAAGTTGTAGGAAACTCTAATATTAGAGCTGCCATTTAATTCTCAAGGCAATAAAAAGGACCAAGAGGCCAAGTCGCCTCTGAATGTCTTTCATGTTGGTTTGTTACACAGTGTGATCTTGTTTTACAAGTGCTCTGTTTACAAGAATGCGAGGGGGGAGGGAGGGAATGTTCATTTAAGTCCCACAATCACATAGGGCTACTTTTGTAAAGGTCTGATCCAGTCCTACCAGCTGCTTGCCCACAAAACTTTGCAATTGTGGAGGCTAATTAAGATTCTTCAGAGGAGCTCTCCTCTCCCCGGCGGTTGCAGGCAGCCTCATTAGACATGCTGTACCTCCCCCTTCACCCAGCAGAATGCCCCACTGTGCTTGGTTTACATTATGGCTTATGAATTAACCAATTGATTCTGAAAATATCATTACTTTGGGGCTAAATAAAGCTGTTCCCTTTAAGGGAAAAAGTCAGCTCCACATAGGAATAAACTGATACTGTATTGCCTACAAACTCCCTTCTCTCTCACGCTGCCAGTCGAGGATTCACTTTCCAGGATACAATGGGTTCAGTACAAAGGGAGATTATCGTGGCTTTCTGTGAGGATGGGGAGGAAAGTCTGGGCCTGGGCAGTAAGCGTGACCTATCCACTTGCATGCAGGAAGCTTTATTTACATGCAAATCTGATTTTTAAAAAATGAGTTTACAAGGAATGACTGTGTATATTTGCCTTGTCTTTTTTGTGTCCACTTCTCTCTCCAGCTTTAAAGTGAAGAAATCCATAACTGGTATAGATCAAGCACGTCAGAATTGCTTGGTACTAATGCTGCGCAGCTGAACTGTAGAGCTGAGCACAGCTCTAGTGCTGGAACAAAATTTCAGCTGGCACTGATACATAATATTGGACTTCCAGTATCTTAGAGCAGTTATGGCTGTAAAAGTTTATATTCAGTCTTTAAATTGGTTTTAACCAGAACGAAATCTGATTTAAAGCCCAAACTGAGGAATATATAAATTTAATTACGTTTCATCTAATACAAATAGCTTTCCCTTGCTGTTTGTGCAAAAATCTGGGTTTGATTTTTTAAAAGAAAGCTAACTGCAGGAACAAGACAAGGTACTTCCAAGTAGTGAAGAAACTGTATGTCAGTACATTGAGAGTTTCAAGTTGGTCACGACAAGCACACAGTCAGCTTGGACAGCCTCCCCTTCCCGAATGTTTCGAGTGTTTAGCTACACCTCTTTCAATTAAAAAGAATACTCTCCCCTCCCCAAACTAAAAATGAGAACATTAAAACATATTACAACTTCGCTGTACAAAACCATACTATATATTGTAATAACAAAATGCTTTATTTGGGGGAATACAAGGAAAAGTGTGACATCCTCATTATCAAATTGTTTTAAAAAGGCATTCTTTCTTTGAAAAACATAACACTTGTACAGAAAAGGTGACCTGTGGATAAGCCCTCTCATTTAGCAGTGGGAATTCTTTTTTATTTTACAGCTGAAGTTGAGATTTGAATAATCTACAGCAACAGGTTTCAGCTTTGTTGATGTTTTCTAGTAGCTTGGGGCACACCTACCACTCGGCACTGCTCCGGTTTGACAGCCTACCAGGAGGCTGACAACACAACGCCGAGATGGAGCTACCACAATTCTAACCCAGGTTGCTTTGCAACAAACCGCAAAACTTCACCGTTACCACAAGAAGACAGTGAGAAAGCCACAAGGTAACTCATCTTCTCTTTTATCTCCAAAGACTTTTCTCGTGCGAGCCCTATGCTCATGAAATTCTCGTACCACTCATCTGATTACACCTCAGTACTTCACCACACATCCCCTTTGCTGTAAGCCAGAACTGTGTCGTGAACGGTATACAACAGATCAAAGGCAAAATACAATTATTTCCCCAATGTATCTGCTTTCTGTACAGTAGGTTCCAAGTAAGTTGGGATATGTTTTAAAGACCGCAAATTTATATCCATAAATTAATTCTGCCCTCTCTGAACCTTATGTTAGCATTTAAGTTGTTAAAGAAAGGGACTGGGAAGTTCCTAAAATTGTCAGGTTATAAAGTAAGCGTTGGTCTTTTAATTCAGCATAACTCTTGGCCACAAGTAGTATCCATGCTAAGCAGTAAGATACATCGGTCTTATCATTTAAAGGGGACTCATGTCTGAAGCGGGAACGGCAAACTCTAAAAGAACTAACGGTTTTCTTTATTCAGGTTAGACATAACAAATATGTCAGATACAGCAGTTAGTCTAGAAAAATACATTTAAAAAAATCTTCAGCAGACCATGCTCCCTGTAACAAAATCTTTCAAAACCGATTTTACAAATTATTCTACATTAATGTAAAAAGAAAATCTTAAATTTAGCATCATGGATTCCATCAAACATCTATCTACCAAAACATGAGTTTCACTATTTGTAGATGTTAGAACTTGTAATACATTTTTCTAATGTATCCTGTACATATTAAATAACCTAAAAGGCTCCTCTTGTAGTGCATTAACAATTTAGCAAGCACACTCAGTATTTTTCCAGTACCATTTGCATTACAGTTATTTGCCCGCAAATGTCATTAACATCTAAAAGTGCACACAGTTAGGTCCCCCCTCCCTCCCCATAACCTGTTTCCCTGCTGAAACCCAGACATCCACTGGAAACATTATGCTACTGTAGCTAATCTACCCATGATTAGAAATGTGTGACTAAAGTGTTCTTAAACTATACAGGAACTGAATTATATACAAGAATCAAAAGGACAGCCTGTATTTACATCAAGAAACTTCCACTACCACAGCATTATACCAAGAACTCAATACAGTGTTACAGTTGGTATTTACTTAGGATTTTAGCTTTAAATCAGTATAACACAAAACTTAGCTCAGGAAATACCCTGAAAAAATGAACATGTTTATTAAATATGACTTCTACTATGCCACAAGACAAATATCCGTTGCTGGATATTCTTACAAGTTCAGTGTTTGAAACAGTGTGCTGTTCTATAAAACAACTAAGAAGTTCCAGAAAGGTTGCTGGGGAAAAAAAGGACAGAAAGAAAAGGGGGGGGGGTGGGGGGGGGGGGGGGGGGGGAAGGAGAAAGGACAGCAGGTATCAAGTGAGGAATTAGATTTGAATAACTAAACCAAACTGTTAGCACAAGTTTAATACAGTCACTGCATGCAGAAACCCCTTGGAAAAGTGTCATACGGATCTGAGTAGGTTGTAATACACAAGCTTAAGATGTAACTTCACTGAATTTTTCCATGCCAGTTGGTAGGACTTTTCCCTACCAAGTGGAAGAATTTTAAGATTAAATTCCAGATTATCCAGCTTGAGATTAATAGCTTTACTCTCCAAGAAATCCAGTGTATGAACCTATATTACATTTTTCCAATGCTACTTTAAAAAAAGACAAACTATAACCTTTTCAATTCACTTTTTACATTGAACTTTTCAAAGAAATCCAAAGTGTTGTCTTTAATTTGCATTAAAGTGGTCAAACATTTCTCCTGTTTCTCCCCTCCCCAAAAGTGCAAAAAACAAGTTGCTGCTTGGTCCACAAACATAATACATCATGTACAGCAAGAGATTTTCCTTCTGATGGAGTACTGCTGCAAACCCATCACTTCCAGTTTCTACTCCAAGAAAAATATCAGCGTCCAAAGATGGAATTCAATTCCAGTAGAATTAATTCTACAATCTGATTCTGGTATACTGTGTGGACTGCTATGTTACCAGTCTCTTTCTCTGGTTTTAATAAGGTTGGACCAAAAACTATTGCTACACTTTGATAGGTCATTCGGTTCTTTTCTCCGTTTTCTACAACTCTGAAAGAGAAAAAAAAATACACAGAGACACTTATCAGTGTCAGAGTAACAGGATGACGGGAAAAAGACACAGTCCAAAGCAAATGACTATTCACAGTATTTGTTTAACAAGTAGTCTTGTTATTGGGACATACAGCTGCTGTGATTCCCCTCTCTATGGAGAAGTTTTGTTTTGAAATGCTATTCCTGATCCTCTCCTAATCCCTCGAACATAAGGACTTGGCAGTAAACATCACAAGTATGACACATACTGTCTAAAGTCCATTTGGCACTCTGCAAGCTTGTATAAATACAGACTGATATATTGTTTTCATCAAGTCCAATATAGGCAAGAAAAATGCAGTGGGAACAGTCACCTAGTACTTTTAATTGGATTATTTAGCTTTAAGGGAGGATCAGCAATACAAAGCCTTTCCTTTTCTCTGCTACTTACCTCTTCAGGTGTCTAAAGAGTACCTGCATAGTGTCCTGATTTGGTTTTGGCAACTGTTTGATTAAATCTTTAACAGCATGGACACGCTGCCTTGGTTCTTGTTCTGCAAAAGGATGAGGCGTAGAAACAAAAATTCAGTGGTTTTGTTTAAAACTTTAGCATAAAATTTAACAGACTGGGAATAAAAGCAAAAGTTTTGCAGTGCTAATATTAGATAAAATACTGCCACCTCCTGACCGCACCATGCATTACTGACAGGCAATTTTAGGTAAACCTTACAGACGTTCATAACCAAAACATTCTTTTTACTGTCCAAAATAATTAAATGAATTGCACATATTGAGCAGAATTTGTACAAAAAGCACAGGCATGATTTTCAGACTTACTAATTGCATTGACAAAGTCATTGAAGTGATTATAAGTGAACAGCGGCTCTGGCAATTCTCTGAAAAACATCTTTAACGCTCCTGTGATGACATGTATATCTTCCCATTTACTATCATTCAAGTCTAGTTTCTCATCTGAGAGAGAAAAATGCATAATTAATGTTAATAATTTAACTATAAAAGCTTTTTTTAAAAATAAACTTAACTACTCTTCCGTACTTATTGCTTTTAAAGCAGTGAAGAGACTTACTCCACTTCAGCCCATTCTCTGCTGGGATACAGAGCTGCAGCAGTGTAAAAGGGGATACAAAACTCAACCACTACAGACGGAGATGGCCAAACTCCACCTACTGCACTACATGCAGCTCCCCTACACCAAGGGCGTTTTCCAGAGGGGAATAGGAGTTGCTGACATAACACACAATTTACTGTTACACCCTGTCAATCAGGGAATGACAGGTCAGATTGTAGATGGGCTACTCTCCTCTTCCTAGTTGTGTGCTGCCTATTGAATCCCACTGAACAAAACACTAATATATAGCCACGTGAAAGGGTTTTATACACAGAGTATGGCAAAGAGGAGCTAAGCACCCCCACACTAAAAGGCAGTAGCAAATCTCACTGAAAAGCATTAACTTACAATTTTAATGCTAGTGGAAACTTAATATGCTTACTGTTTTTCCCATAATGTATGAAGTTATTTTGTTTGAAATAATTCTCCCCCCTCAAATTCTACTACCACCATTTTTTAGAATTACGTTCTAGCAATGCCTCTATGCTCCACATAAGACCAAACCTCCAGGATGCCAGCTTTTTCAAATGATGTATATTACACACTAAATTCTGCAATTTTGAAGCTAGTGTACTTTGAAGATGACAATCATTTCTCATGAAAGACTGCAGTTATACATTAAGAAACCTTTTTCCTAAGCTTTCTATGAACTTCAACGATCTGAAAATACAGGCAATTGTAATATAGTTGAAGGAAGCTTACCATGGTTTACTGCAAATCTTAGCTTCTGTATCACTGCAAGATTGCCACTAACTCGGTATAAGCCGTCAACATCTAATCCTAAAACAAGGGGATAAATCCATTTTAATACCTTACATGTGTGAATTCTGCAATCATTAGGCTGCTTCTTTATAGGTCTAAAACCAAAAGAAACCCACCTTGTAACAAAGAACGCTTGGTTCAACAACAACAAAAAAAGTTGTTAAACTAGCTTTTTTGATGAGCAGGGCATATCAGAGGAGGTTTAGTTTGCTGACACAGGTTCGGTAGCATCAAGCTCAAAGTAATCTCTCAAACTTTCTACACAGTAGAACAGTAGTAATGAGGCAACAGCTCCAAGTTTCCCCAATGAGACTAGGTGTCTCGTTTAAGATGCTCTTGGTGGGTGGCCAGGGGGTCTATGGGAGTCCAACATGCAAGAATCAAGTATTTTGTGGATGTTCAATTTTTTAATGTATGGTTAAGAAAAATCAAATCAAATCATGCATAGAGAGCATCTCAAAGTTGTCAAGTGACCAGGTTTGCATGAAGAAGGAATGATGTGCATGCACACTCATCGCTACCCAACAGCCTACAAAACTAAAATGGGTAGCCCTTGCCTTTGCAGTATTGCACACTCAACCAGAAAAGAAGAAAACTGTGTCTCTGTGGTTGCTACTGCAGTTACTCAGAAGTGATTAGCAGGTAAAGAATTTAATTGAAACGCCACTTGAATGCAGCATGTGAGTCAGTGCCACTGAGAGGGTGAGTGTTGCCAGAATACCTGCAGTCCCTGTAGCTCCTCAAGTTGTCTGATGCAACACAGCACAGTTACCAGCACCATCTGACATATCCCTTTTCCCCATAATCCACTAGTCATTCCTTTACAGAAAGAACTGATTTGAAGTCTATTGGCAGTAGGAAGAAGAGTTGGAGAAGTGGGAAAAAAAAGCTGTTCATTTCTGTCAGCTTCCCCTCAGGTATTTAAAAAAGGAAAACTTCACCACTATCTTCACTGCAGTCCTGTCTTTAAAAGAAATAAAAAAAGAACAAAGCAAAATAACCTCTTTCTCCCAAACTGCAGATCACAAATGGAATAAAGCCTGCTGTTACAAGCAAGGTAGCAGTTTGTCAAACTGGAGTAAGGCAATGGAAGCAGTTATTTTTCCCCTCCCAGGCCATAAGACAGCAGCATTGAGAAAGGACTAAAGGCTGCAACAAAATCCTAAATGAAGTTCCCATGGAAGATGCCTTAAAATTCGCAGGTAGTATTCCCCTGTAACACTTACCCTGATTCTCAAGAAAACGTCCTCAGATTAACAGACTGGTATATATTTGAATGATGGTTATGGAGATTCCATAACCCCCCTCTCAGTCATCTTTTCCAGGAGATAGGGCAATGACAACAGCAAGAAACAAGCAAGAAAACCAGCACAGACTACAGCCAAGTCAGGAGTCACAACCAACGTATTTTCAACAAAAATGTGAAGATGTCCTGCACATCAGACAACCCACAATGTCACATGTAGCTTTCAAACATATAATTTTCTCAGTTATTAGGTGGGAGAGACTTATTTTCAATGAAAGCAAACAAAAATTATCAGTCATATAGCCACATATTGACTCAATCTCCAGAATTCCATAAAACTTCACATAGCAATCGGTGTAACTGGCCGAAGGGCATCAAACTGATAAGACTTGTTTTCTGGCAGTCAAAGCATATACAGAGTAGGAACACAACTTTTTCCTAGAAGTTTGTTTCAAGGAAGTTTTAATATAAATTATTTTGTTACCATGCTTAAACCTTCCAAAAATGAACAGCCGCATTTTGACAGTCTCCCCCTCTTTTAAACTGAAAAAAAAAGTTGATGGGCTGAGCTCTTCTATCACTTGTAATCCGTCTTCCCTTAGAACCTTGCTGCCAGAAGGCTGTCCTGCCTTCTCCTTAGCTTGAAAGATACTGAAGCAGATCAGTTTCTCAGATATAAGATTTCCTCCCTTCTCCCCATTTTGGATCCCACCTACCTCCCCACTCTTGAAAACTCATTGCTATATACAGACACAGGTTTCAGATCATTTTCCCCAAAGAAATCTGCAGCATTTTAAGGATTAAAACGTTTAAAATTAGACAGCGTGGTGAGCAATAGAGATTTGGAAACAAAAAATTTTCACCATACCATGTTCCTCAACATGCTCAATGCACAGCTTCACGAACTTTGGCACCGTGCTGTTTTCTCTTTGACACAAGCTGGTGAGATTGGAACCAAACACTTGATCTGGAACCAAGTAAAGAGACTGATTTACAGTGGAACAGGACTCGAGTGACAGAACTAGTTCAGGTTAAAACAAACCTCTACAAAGGGCAAAGACTACTGGATACAATTGTCGCAGTATTAGAGTGAAAACAGGAAAGTTTTGAAAAGAGCTCTCAGCAGCTCCCAGCAAGAAAAAGCTCCCAGTAAGAAAAAGTGTCAGCAGTTACCCAAATGTGAGTCTCTGAGTAAGGAACTTTTACTACTGATATTATTTTAATCCATCAGGAGATACTTTTAAGAGTCATATAGTTATTACTGTAATGAGAAATTTAATGGCTTCAAATATCCTGTTACACTCCATTCCTGTTCTGAGTTCAAAATACATTTACTGTAATCTTTGTTAAAAATCTGAACAGAGATAATAAACTTTAACCAAAGTGAAAGCTTTTGGCATTGCTTGGGGAAAAACCCTGTAAAATTTCATCTTTCATTGAACCTACTGTTTAACCCAGCATTACATATTAATTTACTTACTTTTAACATTTAAATTCTGACATGGATTTGTAAATGACAGACCTTTATATCACAGAGCTCTGAACGGGATGCCAGTATGACTTATGCATAGGCAACCTGGCTGCAAGGTTGGAATGTAAATACAGATATTTATGGGCAAAGGTTGTTTTGAGTTTTTGTTTTCAAAACCACACAATCCAGGGGGAGTGTTCTTCCATCACAAACCAGAGCAAAAATGAAAATCAGCTTGGGCAGAGAACAGATTCGTGTAATGTCTTAGTGTATGTGAGCAACATGTTAACTCCTCTTGTTCAGGTTTTATTATCACCAAAATCTCTCTCAGACCCATTTCTATGATTTTCATCAAAGATGTCCAAATAATAGATTACCTCCCCTGTTCAGATGAATGAGATTGAAACAGGGTCTTGAGATGGGGGGGGTCTTTGCCTCTCTAGGCAAAGCTCACACTCTTAAAGGAAAGAAAGTTTGTGGCGTTTGAGGTTTTTTTTTTAATCTGTTAAATAAGGTATGTAAGTGGCCATCTTTGCAGTATCTAATAGATCTTACTTCAAAGCTTATGCAAGAGAGAAACTGTTCTTGCATTTGCATCATGCATAGCATCTAGCCCATTTTTCATGTTTAGTAATTTAAGCAGATTCATTAATAACACTTGTATCTGACTACTGCTTTGGGAAATCCAAACAGCACTCCAAACCAATTATACAGTATGAAAACCGGCATATAATGGTATTATTAGCTGTATGCGTACAAGGCCAGTGCCCCGAAACACCTCAGTCCTGCTGCTGCTACTCACGCAGCCAGCTGCATAAGCAGAATCAGTAGCAAGGGATTGAAAAAGTCCACGCAGCAGAAAGCCAGGCTAGCATGCAGCTGTAGCAGGTAAAGCAATGCAAATTAGGTAGCGCAAGAAAACACTAGCATGTAACAAACTGATTTGCCACAATTGCCTCTGACTTTAATAATTTCCACGTATACAGCAATCATATTTTTTTTCCTCTCATCTTAAAGTAACTTTTAGAATTTGTTTTTCCGTGTAACAAAACTTTAGCACAGGTACTTCTCTGCTTAGTGCATGCTGTTTCAAGTGGGTTTTTGTTCTAGAACTTCTCATTATTTTTTCTGCTCATACGGGGTTTGCCAAGTTTTCCATTTACTAAGCTTGTTCTGTAGCAGCCACAAAAGTACACTGGGCTTTTAAATAAAAACTTCTATGTTTTTCATTCATACAGTAAATGTAAAACTGTACAGCACTGATCCAACTTTTAAGCTTTACACCATGCTTTTAAATAAAAACAAACTCTCCATTCCTTAATGTCTTTATTAAAAAATCCAATCATCAGCACGCATGTGTACAAATTAAACTTGGCTTAGCATTCACTGTTGCTAATGGCAGAAGTTACGTCACTGAGCCATGACATGAATACTAAGCTGTAAAGCAGAGCAAAACGTCAAAGTCTGGGAATAATACCTCCTTATCCCAAACAAGAAAATCATCATTTACAGTTAAATTATATTTGCAGATACACAAATATACCAAACACCCCATGCAACAGAAGTACACCTGTTAAAGTATGTAGTTAGGCAAATCACAGTAGGGTTTGGTCTGATATTTGCCTACCCATATGCTATTTTGACCCTAGTAGAGCACCACCTACAAGTCCTGCTGAAGCATACA